CTGTTTATGCGCCGAGATCTTTATTTGATCGGCCTTCACCAGCACTTATGAAAATACGTCGCGATATGAAATTACATAAATACCGCTTAGTCCGACCGTCAATTCCACTGCCGGGTATAAAGCCGTCGCATATGTCAAAATCTTCCACAGACCAAGAACACGTTTTAGATTGGATGATACATGAAGATTGGGCCCTTCTCCAAGCGATTCAAATTTATCAAGGATTGCCATTAAATTTGATGATTCTATCTCCTGGTCATACTCCTAATTGGGATCTGGTTGCGGATATAGTTAATAATACTTCACGAATATATAGATCTCCTAAACAATGTAGAAGTAGATACGAATCGGTAATAGTACCAAGAGAAGAAGGAAAGTTACTTTACGATACCACGCCGAAAAAGCAAAAGAAACAAAAGGGCGTTTACAAAATGCCTCAGGTTTCCGAGGTATACCGAGATATTTTTATTCTACATTTGACGAGAGATATTTACTGGAGAGAAATTATCATTTTTTTAATCGTCTTCTTTTAGCAACAAAGTAAAACAAACAGGCCAATGAAAACGTCTCAATTATATAATCAGGATAAAAATCATTCGTTTACATTAATGTGCTGTCAGAGATTTGATACTATTAAATCTGTTTCGAATAAGAGAACGCCTACTGTCAAACCGTTACTCGTTAATCCGTTAATGAAAAATCCTACCAATGCTGCAGTTTTAGCTGAATGTGGTATTCAATATGATAACCCATTAGCTCCTATAGAAGTTGCAACGCGACGCGCCGATAGGATTGCAAAAGAAAAGCTTAAACATGCAGTCAGTATAATAAATTGTAATTTTTTAATTATCGAAGTTTTTAAACGAGTGGAAATATCATTGAATATTTAATATCCAGGTTTTATCAGCGGAGCAACAACAACAAGTAGCAGCTCGTCTATTACAGCAACAGCAGCAGCAGCAACAAGTTCAACAACAGCAGCAGCAAATAAAATTGCAACAGCAACAGCAAGCTCAACAAAATACCACAAGTCCTCAAGTGCATCAACTAACGCAAGTTGCGACCACTGTCACAACAGGGCTAACTACAATGAAGACTATTACCACAATTACTAATGTTACTACAGGTGGTACGACAATTGCTACATCAACGGTTAAAGCCCGATCAGGAGGAACGTTAAGTATGCAGGATGCACGGACGACACCAACTGTTGTTAGTGTTGGTAATCTTCAAGCAGCTCAAAGAATTGCAACAGCAAGTTTAGTGTCTGCTGCGCAAAGTTCACCTGCAGTTACGCAGAAAGGTATTGGAGTTACCGTAGCGACGACTGCGGGTAACAAAACCTTAACTGCGGCCCAATTGCAATATTATCGGCAACAGCAAGTTCTATTGCGACAGCAACAATTGAAAGTACTGCAAGCACAAGCTGCTGCAAATGGTCAAAAGGTATCAGTAGCTGTTTCAGCTGCTGCTGCGCAACAAAGGGCTACATTGATGAAGCAGAATATAACTGCTGGCACTGCTGCACAAGCGTCCGTTGGAAAGCAAACGATAGCACGTACAGTATCAGAGACAGAAATGGCTGCTTTAATAAAACGCCAAGCTTTGCAACAACAGGCAAAAGCGGTGGCTCAGGTACAAGTACCTGCACAGGCTGGACTTACTCCGGCTCAAATATTCGCTCAGGCAGGTTTGCAAGTGCAACATGCGGGAACGTCAGCCGGTGGAACTCCAGTTGCTACTTTAGTAAAAACTGCAAACGTTGCCAGTGTACGAACAGCAACACCTCAACAAATCCGTCAGCTCGCTCTTCACCCTCAAATTATTACCCAAAGAAAATTGCCGGCGCAAAAAGTTGCACAACTAACACAAGTTGCTGCGAAAACTGGTGTTCAGACTCAATTGATTGTGCAACAGAAATCATTGCCTGCGACGATGACCGTGCAGCAGATTCAACAAGTTATGAAACACGTTCAACCATCAGCTATGCAACAGTTTACTCATGTACGTTATATATTACATGTAAATTTCATTGATATTGTTTTTTTTTTTTAAATAAAATATTATTAATTTTAGGTTTCTACAGGACAGGCGGTTTCTCAGCCTGGCCAAGTAGTTTTAGCAAAATCTCCGTTACAAACGAGAGTAATTCCGGTCGCGTCCGCTGCTTTGAAACAGACGATCCAAGTTATGACTGCAAGTAGTGCTCAATTACGCCAAGCTGCACCTGCTCAAGGTAAACCTGTTGTTACGGCTACAAGAGGTAGTCCCGGACCTAGTCAAGTCAAATTACAAACTCTTGCACATCCCATTCATCCTCAGCAAGTACAACAGCAACAGCAACAACAGCAATCACAAACTCAACCAGATACTCAACCGAAGTGAATACGTTTTATTATATGAAACATTTAAATTTATTATGTGTTACAAATTTTTCTACTTCAAATCAAAATAGAAGTTTCAGTTGAGAAACTAATTTATTAATAAATGAATGATAACATTCCAAAAGGCAACATTGCAAATATTTAGCCTTCATCCGCCTCTCATTTTTCGAACCTAATTTGTCCTCTGGTGTCAAATTATTATTATTATTATTAATTGACATAATGATTAATATCTGCAATGAAAAAATAAATAGCTAAATTTGAAAATTCTTTTATTGCTAATAAATAGTGAAAACAGATGTTGTTTGCAGTTTTTATCGCACGTTATCAAGAATGTATATACCTATATAACGTTTAATAATATTTATAAGATATTTTATAAGAAAAATGTGTTAAATTGACACAAGAGACGGATGAAGACTATAATTAATTTGATGTTGTAACTGTTTTTTCGGTTTAGGCAATACACAATTGAAATGTTCGTATAAAAAATAATATCTTTATGTTTATATCATTAGATTTCTTTTTTTTTTTTTTGTCTAATTTTATCTAAAAAATAAAAGAAATTATACAGAAAGCTACCAATCCTCAATGATTTGAAATTAAATTTCATTTGAGGATTTTAATTTGAAAAAAAGAAATGAGTTTTATTTCTGTTGATTATATTTTATTTCTTGTTGGTTTTTTTTTTTTTTAAATAAATAGAATGGAACGATGAATTAGTAGTTTTAATAAATACATGAAGTGATAGAAGAAGGTTTTTTGATAAGTTTTTGTAAAATAAAAATCATAAAATTATGGAATCCGTACGTTCTATTAATTTGTCATTGAGAATTGGTAGATTATAACTGCGGATGTTCATGATTTTGAAATATGTTGAAATATGTAAATAACATAAGTAAAATATGGAAGTACATATGCAAGAAATATATGAGGTTTCCAATAAGTACATTGAAATATATAATAACAACAACTTTATTTGTTATTAAAAATTCATAATAATTAATATTATTAATTATAATTCAAATAGACTATATAAATATTTATCATTTAAAATTAATTTATAGTGAGAAAATAATCGCTGATATAACATGATGTATTTGAATTTATTCCAATAGTGATCTTCAATTTCTATTGAAAGTCAGTGGTGTTACTCCGCCAACTCATATTTACTCCAGCTATTGTTTTGTCAATATAAAATTCATTCTTTTTTGTCACAATTTGTTTTTTTTCTATTTCATGTTGTTTGATATTTCATGTTGTTTCGTAAGTTTATTTCTATAAAGGTATTTAAATACTGTTTTAATTACGATTTCTTGTTACAACGTATCTTTTTTTCACATACTTTATGGATCCTCAATAATTCACAAAACTGTTATTTCCTATTCCATCAATCCAATCTTGTACTAATGCTAGTCACATTAAATATAACGATTTGATGAAATTTTGATTTAATTCGTAAGAAGTTAATTTGAAAATTCAGTAATTAATATCGAATTTCGGAAGTACAAATAATAAATATAAATGATATGCGCAGTATATAACTTTTGCATATATATTTAAAAAAATACATGCAAAATGTAATATGAAGATAATATGAAATATGCAAAATATGCAAAATAAAAATTGTATATTTGAAGTGGCAAAACAAAATTTCTGTCCCGGTCCCTGTATTTTATTTTTATAAAAATAGGCATTTGCATAAACATCCGCAGTCTTATAACTTGGTGCAAATGATATTTCCCATAAATATCATTTCGATTTGATCAGTATTGAGGTATTTCGGTTTTGTTGTGATATATTGCCTTTCAAAATTTGCCGATCGAATTTATAAATAATAATATTAAGGAATTTGTGCGCTACTAATTTTTGCGAAACTGCAACATAGTATCATGACGTTGTTTTGAATATTTACAAAAATTAAAAAAAATAATATTTACAAAAATGAAATTACAGATAGCAACAAAAAAATGGTAGCGTATAATACGAAAGCACAGCTTAATTTTATAATTTCATCAAAACTAATCCACGCGAGTTGAATACGTTTTGCATATTAGGATCTGTCAAAGATCTTAGCGAACTAATTTATATTAAGGACAATGCGATTTTGTCTTAAAATATCATTTTGAGAGAAACAAATAATTTATGGTATCCTAAATATCGCTTGTTAAGATGTATTTTTCTTGAATTTGTAAAAACTAATAAATTTCGAAAAATACACGGGAAAAGAGTAATTACGAAGCTACGACTGTATATGTATCTATAGTTACCTGTAGAATTTAAAAATCATTTGATGATGCGATGTTTATACTAGGATCTTCGTGGAATTGTGTAAGATTGTACTAATAATATATAAATATGTACAATTCGTGTATTATAGACGCTGAAATAAATCTGTAAAAGAATTTTGTCTATCGTTTGTGTGTATACGTTGTATTTTATATTTCGTATAACATTAAAGATTTTGAAATACTGCGTTTTATGAACTCGATTTATTTGAACGAAATTTTATATAATATCCGCTTAAATGAACTTCTACTCACTCATCATAAGCTTTTATTGCGCGGATGAAAAATTATAGGTAATTAGAAGAACGAGTTAACTGCTCTATTACGTGAACTCAAATTGCATAAACTTCAATCTTGAAATACATATAAGCAAGACACATTGCATCAAATTGCGTTTTGTTCTGGTATTACGTACGAGTGTAAGCAGATAAGTTATGATTCATTACTATTTTTAATAATTTTGTCAATGTTTTAATAACATAATAATTAGTTGAACTTTGAGCCTCTCTTTTTTAAAAATAAACATTAATACGCGTTAATTTTATCGTGTTACTAATTTTTATAAATATAAACAATAAATTTTTATACTGTCATAGTGTTATTTACCAGTATAGATAAAATTAATAATTTTTAATATTTATAATGGATAACAAAATTAAATAAACATATAAATTTTTAAGTAATTTTAAAATTATACAAAGTCATAGGAAGGAATGATTTTATTCAACAGGATAACACCTGTTTACAGACTGAAAATTGTGGTAGTGAATTAGGTAAGAAATGAATCGTATGAAAAATGGATTACCACAAAATTCCGAGAATATTTTACTCGAATTAAAATAGTTGAAAATATTAATTGTGAAATGTGAAACTTTTGTTATGGAAAATTTATTGAGAAAAATTTAAAAGGCATGCACCTATTATCATTATTATTATAGAATTATTTTTTTATTTGTTACCATTTTACTACAAAAAATTAGAATGTTCTTATTTTTATAATCCACTTTTGATTTTACCGTATTTTATAATTTTATAATTTTATAAATGAAAGGAACATTTGTTCGTAATCATTTCCGTTGTAATCATTTTCTGCAGAATCATTATTTTCACTTAAAATGCACGGTCATTATGATAATTTTTTGCAATCGAATTATTGATAATTACGTTTACGCAATATTGTCGTGCAAGTGTTAAAAATTAGATAAACAAACTTCTTTATTAATATTCTTTCGGCAAGATCCTAATGATTTAATATTATAATAATATTTAATATTAAGAATTGCTCTTTTACTCTTTTATATTTACTTTCAGCAAATTTAATTCTAACTATCATATTATTGTCGTCAATATGAATTATCGGTAAACATTTTTCACGGATAACTTATGTAATGAGCACATTCATATAAGACGGATTCGAGACGCATTTAATCAGTATCTCAGAAGAGCTGAAGAAATATTGACTTTTAAAATCATGGTAATGCTAAACTTTCGGTTTGTGGATCTTCTTTTTACGGTGATCACCCTTGGGACGTTTCTGTTTTTATACCTACAATATAAGCGTACCTATTGGCAAAGAAGAGGTGTACCTACTTTATCTAGCCATTGGCTGTTTGGTAATGCAAAAGATATAATACAATCGAAAAAGTCTCCCGGCTTGGTGATTGGTGAATTACACCAGAAAGCTTCTAATAACGATGATATTCTTGGAATTTATATTCTACACAAGCCATTCTTACTATTGAGAAATGCAGAATTGATCAAACAGATTTTAATCAAAGATTTCAATTACTTTCCGGATCGTTATTTCACGGCCCAATCGATTCGTGATAAAATTGGTAGCTCTAATCTCTTCACGATCCACAATCCAGAATGGAGATACTTGAGGTATGCATCTTGAAAAGATTCTTATTAAAATAATATTTTTGGGTGAATGGTAAAGATTTTTATTAACGAACGAGTACTTTTGTTTTTTGTAGAAGCAAAATATCACCAGTGTTCAGCAGCGGAAAAATGAAGAAAGTCTTCAATTTGATCGTCGAAACTGCCGATTCGATGAACACATATTTAGAACAACAATTTACAAACGATGTGAAGACAAGAAGTATAGAAATGAAAGATGTTGCTCTGAGGTACACGACTGATATTATATCTTCCGTTGCTTTTGGAATTCAAGTAAATTCGTTCGATCCCAAAACGATGCAATTCTTTCAAAAAGGTATTTGTTAAGAAATTTCCTATAAATTCTACGATTCAAAAAAGTGATGATCACGCGCTTATTGTGCTTCTTCTTTCCTTTGAAAAGCTCAAAAAGGACTTCAATTGACAGTTTTCCGTATGATTCAAATTGGCTTTATGTTTTTCTTCCCCAAATTTGCACAATTGATCGCTGGTAAAATGTTAGGATCGTCTACAGATTATTTTCGTAAAGTATTTTGGAATTCCATGGACAACAGAGAAATGACCAAAGTTAAACGAGGAGACTTGATCGATTCTTTAATAGATTTAAAAAATGAAAAACAGGAAAACGATTTTAGTAAGTACTAACTATTAATTAATTATTTTGTGTCTACATTTAAAAAATAATGATCTATCTATTCTATCTTTAGAATTTGAGGGCGATGTGTTGGTGAGTCAAGCAGGCATCTTCTTTATTGCTGGTCGTGAATCAAGTGTAACAACGATATGTTATACTCTTTACGAACTTGCTAAACAACCCGAGATTCAGAAGCGAGCTCGAGAAGAAATTCATGAGAAATTGAAGGAGCATGGATGGACTTATGATGCCTTCCAAAATATGAAATATCTTAATCAAATTATATCGGAAACTCTACGACTTTATCCTCCAGCTCCGCTTATTGATCGAGTTTGCGTAGAGGATTACAAGGTAAAGAGACAAATAAATAGATTTTTATTTAGCATAATGAAGGAGTTTTTAAGTGCATGCAATTATTTAGAAAGCAACAAGGACTTTCTTTCTCGTAAGAATTTTTATTCGACTATGTTTTCAATTACTTCTTAAATTTCTAATTTTATTCAAGCTCTTCTTTTTAAATTTTAAAAATTAAATGGAAATAATAGGATGAGTATAATAATAGAGTCTTTTAACGCACAAGCAGATATCTTCTTTATTAATTTGAGTTTGTATTACGTATTAAATAATACATGAATACACGAAAGGAGAATATGTTGCATGCATTATTAAAGATCTAATTAATCTAATACATGTTTATGATTATTAAATTTCTACAACTCATTATTATACGTTCTAAGTAATTTATGATTATCTAATTAATCTAATACATATGTTTATGATTATTAAATTTCTACAACTCATTATTATACGTTCTAAGTAATAAATCTTTTTAGATTCCAGGAACTAAGGTTGTTATAGAAAAAGGAACACCTGTCTATGTGGCTTTATGTGGTCTTCATCAAGACCCAAGGTATTATCCAGATCCTCTGCGTTATGATCCTGACAGATTTAGTGACGAAAATAAAGAAAATATTAAGCAATGTACATACATGCCTTTTGGCGATGGACCAAGAATTTGCGTCGGTAAATACATTTATTATAATAATATAAATTTAATATTAATAATCTAATAACATAATAATATTATTAATTTGTATTATTTAATGGTATATTCATTATAGGACAAAGACTCGGCTTATTGCAAACTGGTATGGGTTTGGTTTCAATACTTAAAAATTATGAAGTTTCACTAGATCCTACATATAAGGGTGGAGTTGATGTCTCAAGCGTTTTTTTGACAGTACCAGAAGGATTTAGATTAAATTTGACAAAACTATAAGAAATGTATATCATATGATTAAAAAATAGATCCTTTCTTCTTCTTATAACGCAATACATTTAAAGGAATAAGGAATCAATTTGATAAAATAAGTCAAATATTATATACAATTGTTAATACTATTATATACAATACAGTTTTATATACAATTGTTAATACTTATTATACAAAGTTTTTTAGAAGCATCATTTATTATCGTTTCATTTCGGTAGTAATGTTAAATACTTTTTAAATTCTGGAATTACACATTCTCGTGGATTTAATGAGGTTTGTGCAGTAAGATAATCGCTCAAATATTGTGGCATAAAGCAGAGAATACCTTTACTAGCTAGCATTGCCCAATCAATCGGTTGACTAACTTGTTTTACATTCACGAAACAATGAGTAATCTTTTTTCCAGTCGGACTTGTATCATATGGTGGTCTAGAACAAATAATAGATAAATTGTAATACGTCTGTAAATATGGGTTTAATAAAAAGATAATGATCCTTACCGTGCTCGAACAACTTTACCACTTCCAGCTTCAATTAATCTTTTAAACTGATCGTGTTTATCCCCAGAAACTAATAATAAAGCAACCATATTGTAAAATGGTCCGTTCGGTTCTTTTAATAATCTAAGCCTCCATTTATATGCAGCTGCTGCGATTGTTTCTTCAACTTCGCCAGTTGGATCTGGTATGATGCCTTTACTTTTTGGATTTCCCCACTCATATTTTTCTTCCTACCAACACGTGATTAAAGTGAAATAAAAGAATAACTATAAACACATATGCAATAAATAAAAAGAGAATCAATATTAACATCAAGAAATTTTCCTTCTCGTTCACAGTCTCGCAAATAAATGCAATGCAGAACCCATTTTCCAGATGCTATACTCCCAAGCATTTTTTCATTTCTTGACAACCTAATGCAAAGTAAATGCGTTGCACTTGTATCGAAGCTAGTATCTAAGGATACATCACCACCAAGATCTTTTATCACTTGTTCATATGTTATTTTATCCTGTTAGAGCAAACATATTTATAAAATACATAAAATAATAGATATAAAAATTTATATATGTACCTTTACGCGCGATAGCATGAATTTTGGTTTCTTTTTTTTCGGCTCAGTTTCTTTTTCTAAGAATTCTTCATCATTGTTTATAGTATGTTCTTCGTGTGCTATACTTTCATTTTGTTCTTCACGCATTGTCAACTTGGCCAATAAAAATTAAACAAGAATTATAATTAAAGTAAATTAAATGTAAAAGATCGATTTATAAAAGAACCTATAAAAGAAAACCTACCCGTTTTGAATGGCTGGGATCTTCCCATACAATAGCATCGACAGGTTGAGAATCTTTTGCAATAACTACAACATAGAATATACATTAGATAATTAAGTATTAAAACAGACAATACTTACATTTTTGTATGGGATCGGCAGATTCGGCATTATATGTGTTTACATTTTCTCCGGAAAGAGAGTACCTATTTTCGGGAGTACTTGACGCTCTTTGAAGTACTTGATCCAATTGTGCAATTTGCCTATAGAAAACAAACACCTATGAAAATTTCATATAAAGTTTTGTATGGGATCTCTCAAGTGGACTGAGCTATAACGTTAAAAGGAGATCGAGAAATTTTTTATTAAAAAAAACTAAATGGTTTCAAATACTGAAGTAATGCTGCATTTGAAACTATTTAATTTTTCTTAATGAAATTTTGCTCTGTAGAAAATACTTATGTATTAACTCACATGTTAATTTCATTATTTGGCAGCAGATTATCTTCATTCGTGAATTCTAATTTTCTGCTAATGGGAGTAGTAGTAGCGATTACTTTACTATCATTTATTGTTGCTTCTGGTGTTGTTACTGACTGATCATTGTCAGCAGATAACGTCTCTTCTGCATTATTCTGCTATAATGTTATAATATTTATTATTAAATATATATAAAAATTTATTAATAAAGTATATTACCTCTGGATTATAGTTCTCACTTTTTAGTTTCTTCCATAACTGTTTTTTAAGTTCTGAAAGAGGCTATAAATTTAATTATGTTAATATTTATTAGATATTTTATATTTTATGTGCACATAATTAAGTTTACAACAAATACTAACTGTACTAAGTGCTCTTTTCTTCAAAGGAGGTTCTTCTACTCTTAAATCTGGAAGATTTTCAACCCATTTTATCCAACCCTTTCTTGTATCTGGCGAAGGATTGGGCTTAAATACTTGACCATATGGCGTTTCTGGTGTAGCCACATGAAACGGTGATGATTGAGGAGTTTTGTTCATAAATAAACTAAGTCTTTTATTTATTAACGGTGTATCGCTGGAATTGCTATTTTGATTCTATAACATTTTTTTTATCGTAAATAGATCACGTAAATCACATAAATTGATAATAAAAAATATGAATGGAAAAATATATTATATACTTGTAAATTGACTAAATGCCGTTTTGGAGTAATAATGTTCCTAATTGCTGATTCAGTTTGAGGATCCACTTGATTTGAATTAGTTTTAAGTAAACTTACGCCTGCTTCATTAATTTCAGTTAGTCTTTCAGGAGCTTAAAAAAATTAATGTTAGAAAAATCTTTATGTACATACATATTTTGAAATACGTGTATATGTTCAGTTTAAAGACCAAATACAATCAATGAGCGAAAAAAACAATCAAAATAATTTTAGAAGAAGAGTCACAACACGAAATTTTGATATAATGAAATATGGACTAAGGAGACGAAATATTTACAATGCAAACCAAATTTAATTTCAGTATAATCAGAAATTATTCAAATATATAAAATATATCCAAAATGTATATAAATTATCAAAATTCCAAATATAATTTTAATTAACCAGAAATAAATTTGCGTTGAGTTAGATTTTTCGTAGAGCAGAAATACAAAAGTAAGGTCTCTCAGGTAGATAGGATCTATTTTTCAAAGGAGCTAGATAAAGAGCGAAAATTCATATTCCTCTAAAGCTATAACGTGTTTTTTCGCTCATTAAGCGTTCTCAGATATTTCTATACCTATAGTTTCTCCCACAAGAAATGGTGTTTCGTCAACGCGTTTTAATTGAGCTACACAAGTTTTTAACCATTCTGCAGTAACAGCTGGTAATTTCCACTTCACTGCAGCATTATATTTGTTTCCTTCCGGTGTTGGACAAACTAAATGTGTACTTCCATATATATTTTTTTCAAGATTAGTTTTACGAACAAAAATATCTTGACACCTGAAATTAACAATGAGTTGATATTTGATTCATTCGTAATCGTTTTTAAAATGTATATGATAAGAATAATACATGGCACCCAATTCCGCAGCTAATGTTACAAGATACGTTCGTTCTGCTCCAACATATGTACTCATTGTAATGACACAGTCTGATAATGGATTAGAATGCTTCTTTATACATAGAGGTTTATGATAATACATAATTTCAACTATTTGTTGCTGATTTACACAATCCTCCTATAAAAAAAAAAGTTAAAATAAAACGATATATCATATAAAAATTAAAATAAAAAAAATTGACACCTACAATAAACAAATCAGTAACAATTTCATTTACTGTATGTTTTAAAGGTGCGCCACATTTTGGCACAACACCATAATCTGGAATACCAGCAAACGTGGTTGAAACTACTTTTCCATTCATTGTTGCTATAGTTTCAGCTACAAAACCATCTTCTTCACTGAAGCCAGTTACAACAAATGTCAGGCCTGTATATATAGTTCAATATTATTTTAGTCTATTGTAATTCATATCTCATTACATATTACGAACTTATATATATTGTATTACCTTCAAATAGTTTATCATTTAAAGTAGAGCTTTGACTAATTGGTATTTCACTATCATTTGTTGAATATCTGTCTTGTACAGGTGTTACAGATTCTTTCAAATATTTTCCTTGACTTTTTCTTTCATCAATTATAGTTTTATCATTATTTTTATCCGAAATAGGTGAATGCGGTTTTAAAAATTCTTGTATGGTTTTATCATTTGTTTCAACTAGTAATAAATAAGATGTATATTTAATTTCTTTTATAAAAAATATAAACAATTATTTAAGGACATTACCAACTGTATTTTGTAGATACTGTTGAAGAAGATCAGATGATTCTTTTTCTTTTTCTTTTTCTAACATTGCCAACTTTCGATCTATGTCAAATGATGGTACAGAGACTTTCTTCGGTTTTTGTAGCATTTGTAAGTTCTAAAAAAATACACATATCACATATCAAATGTTCGTATTGTATACCATAATTTGTATACCATATTTACCTTCTTACTCAACGGAGACGGAGGTTCTGTAACTTTTTGAACTGCATTATATTTTTGTTCACATAAGAAATTTTCTTCTGGCGCAGGTCGTTTTAATTTGACACTTTCTTCCAACCATTCCAATGTTAATATATATGGACTATATGAAACATTAATAGTATTAAATTGCAAATAAAATAAATATTAATTTAGATATTAATTTAATGTTATACCATAATCCTTTTGATTTCATTAATTTTAGTTCATTAGCTGCTCTATTTTCGTCTCCGACGATAACGTGCGTTAGAGCATCAGTTATATCATCCAGTCGTGTTGCACTACCAACATTCAATATTTTGTTAAGTTTATCCCTTTGATTAGAAGCGAATCCAGCTAGATAAATCTGAAGAATAAAAGGAAGAATTGATAAAAATATATTAAATAATAGGGGAACTGAAAGATGTATAATATAATTTACATACATTGCAACCATCTAAAAATGGACCAGCCGTTTTTGCTTCAGCAAATGTAAGTCTATCTAAAATTGTAGTAATTGTAGAAACTGGAAAAAATTTAAAGATAAGATTTAAACAAAATTCATTATTATTGTTAAGTCATTTTTATATTACTAACCAATAGAAGCATTGTTGCATAAATGATCCAAAGTAGAAGCATTGTTTATTGTTGTTACTGAGCTTTCATTTATATAATGTTCTTGCTGAATATCACACGTTATGGAACTTATCGCAGAACAATTAAAGCTTGGACATACTGTATCAAGAAGTTATAACATTAATTAACAAGTCATAGATTTAATGCTAACAAAATATTTTTACCGTTTAATTTTTCCGGAGTAGAAGATGCCTTTAATGATTTAATTAGATAGTCTTTAAAAGGTAAGGCATAGCCAACTTTTATGCTCTCATATACCCAATCTGGTGTTAAACAAGCAATGTTTGCTTGTTTTGCATATTTGAGTTTTTCACTTATTACGCTATTTTCTGGTGCAAGTACAACATTAACTTTTGTACCATCTAGAGGACCCATAAATATCTAAAAAAAAGAGCAATAATGTAAGAGAATAGTTAGATAAAAAAGAAAATATTGAAAAAATATATTTTACCCCTCCATTACTATTAATTAAACGTTTAATTTCTTCCTTTTGACGTTTTGGAAGATTTGTTGATGTTACAACTAAGTTAAGAAATACAGAAGCTTTATATTTATTAAACATGCTGTCATTTGGTGTGACAAAGCTTTTTAAATTCTCTTCCCAAATTGCTTCAACCCATTCTTTTGTAACTATAGGTATTTTCATATCTAGTGCTGTCTATTTAAAAAATCAAATGTTATAATAGACATATTTATATAATTATAATTTCGGTATAAATTTAATTACCTCGTATTTAGCAGACATGACAGATGATGTTACAAGATGTGTTACACTACTACGTAACTGTCTTGTAAAAATTCCTCCCATATATTCTATTAATTTTTGAACATGATTCTGTAATAAGATTATGACAATAAGATTATTTTCGCTTAAAATAAGTTAAATGTTAACAATGAGTATACCTTTTCTTCTGAAGATAATCCAGAAGCACATATACAAAGACCTCTCATTACTGTCGTAAACACTGGACTTGTTCCATCTGGGACTGATTCTCCATTAATGAAACAAAATAACAAACATTTTGGTCCAACTATGCTGTAAAAATAAAATAATATTGCCTAATATTTTTATAAAATCAATAACAATTTAATTTAATATATGATATTGAACTTCTACTTACAGACATTTAAAAGTTTTTAATTTATTAAATGTGTCACCTTCAAATTTTTCCATTACAAAGACATCATTTTTGTCAGGTTTCATTTTACTACATTCTTTTTCATTGATCCATATTGGTTGCAAATCATGTTCACAGCATTTCTAAAAAATTAATTCATTATGTTGTTCTCATTATTGTTCAGAAATTATTGTTTATATAAAAATTAATTTACTAACATTGTATGCATGCCACATATCTTCACCACAATCATCTTCAGATTTGTGTTCATTTGATATAATAAAATAAAGATTTAGATCTGCATCAATTTGGCTTTCTTGATTCGTCATTTTTAATTTTAAATTATCGAAAGTCTCGTCTTACTTGATAAATAGATATTTTATAAAAAAATGAAATGTTTATGTCACAGACTTACATTTACATATTACATATTTTATAACTAAAACAATACAATAAATAGGATTTATTCATTGAAAAATTTTGTCGCACACATCGCATTAAGCATTAAATATGACTTTTAACTGCTTAATATGATGAATTGATTTTTCATCTCTGAAAATGACAGTAAATTGACTGATATAAGGATAGGTTAGATTCTTTTCACAAATGGATATTAAAAATATCGTTAATTTTAAATAGATATAATTTTGAGTTTAATGTGCAAACAGTGTTTAATGCATTTTATTTAAATTTCTATTCTATTCTACTTCAACTTTATTTAAATTTTTAAAATATTAATAAGACACTTATTATGTATGGAAGATCTTCTCGCGCTCAATTTTACTGCTTTATTCAATATTAATACAATTTTTAAACTTATGATTAAAATATTAAAGAAAATTTAAGTAATATAGATGAATGTCACTAATTAAATAATCTGTTGTACATTTTTTGATTAAATATAATATAAAATTAATATATTAATGAAATGATTGATAATTTTTTCATATTGGATTTGAGTACGTAGTACAATATTTATTTTCATTGTATTTTGAATAAAATCTAAAGTTAAAGAATAAAAAAAACTAAAAATATCGTATACATTACTGAACAATATATTTTATTTCATTTAAATATAAAATTCCATAAAAATTCAATTGAAATAAATATAAAAATAAAAAAAATTTTTACAGAACTAATGCTGTTTCAAAAGAACATATTCATATATGTAATATAATACATTTATTTCATATAGTACTCACCTCTTTCTTTTTTCAGATATTTATATTTATATTGTTTACAAGAAAATTTACCTAATAATTATTGTGGGAATACCTATTTAATTAATGGTGATATTCAAGTAGGGAAAGTAATGTAAAGTAGATAAATAGTACAATTTTTCATACCAGAGAAAACACATTTCATTTTTTTATATCTTTTAAATATCAATTATTTTACATTTTTATAATAATTATAGTATACAATATTTATATTTCATACAAGTATAAAGTTACATATTATATTATATGTATTATGTTATGTAATATAATGTATAATATTATATGTTATATTATATGTTATCTTATACATTCTATTATACTACGTTTATTATATTACATGTTATATTACATATTATATGTTATATATTATATGTTATATTATATGTTTTATTATATGCTATATTATATGTTTTATTATATGTTATATTGTATGTTATATTGTATGTTTTATTATATGTTATATTGTATGTTATATTACAGTCGTAGTATATGAATATATTTTGCATCTTACGGACTTATTCTTCAACAGCAGACTGGCATTTGGCGCTAAAACGCAGTGTTTCTTCCTGATTGGTCACAGCGATGAACACTGCTGTTTTATGATTGGCTAGAATGCGATACTCTTATATACGAAATCATGCACAAAATTTGAATATTTACGTAAGTATTAAATCAAAATAAATAAATAAGTTTCTATATATTGTCCTCTAAAAAACCGAAGATTGATAAGAAATCGAATAGTGATAAAAACTGAGGTATATAATTTGTAATTGAAAATAATTTCTAAATTTATCGCTTTGAATTTAAATTATTGTCACTTTAAATTTAAATAAAATTGTTATCGCTTCAAATTTAAACAGAATTAATAATTGTATAGAATTAACAAAACATATTTAAATTATTTTTATGCAAATTTAAAATAGAGAATTTATTTTTCGTATATTGATAATCTTATATTCAGTCACTAGTAGTGTCTGGCGGGAATAGTGATGACATTTGTGCTGTGTTATATTTCGTATTAAATATTATCAACTATTTGATTACAGCATAATAAATAATATGCAAATTTGTTTATTCCATTACAGTGTAATGAAACGTCATAATAAATTCATTTATTATAATTACTAATAAAACCTCTACGCATATAAGCTTTGAATGAAAATTCATAACCTCAAAAGAAAAAGGATACCTAAGAATTGTGTGTAATTTGTGTAATCTACATGAGTCTTCATAATGGATATCGTAGCAACACAAATTTATGAAGATTATGATTCCACACCGACACAAAAAATTTCTTATTCGACTCAACAAGATAAAACTCAGGTAAAAATAAATCTTTATATTTTTAATATTTATCTAGACTCTGACATTGTTTCATTTCATATTTTTTAATTTTTTATTATTAGTTAATTAACTACTGACTATTGTTTGCTACATATTGTTAATTGACTATTGTTTACTGTATATTTTTAATATTTACAAATTTCTTATAAAATTTTCTTATAAAAAGCAATTATTTATGAAATATTTTAGATTGGAGTGTTATGCATAGATTCTACCACATTTCCAATCAAAAAAGGAATTAATCAAATTGGCAGACATCCAGATTGCTGTATAGTATTGAATAATCCAGTAAGTATTCTATATGTACATATACATAAATTTAGATTTTTAAATGAATGTAAATGTAAATTTTATATTTACATTTCTATAGACACAGTCAAGTTGAATTACAAAATTAGTCATTTTTAGTATTCTCTTACTTAATATAAAAAAAGTGTCTTACTAAGCGTCTAAGTCTCTTACTTAATATAAAAACAATTATGGTTGAAAATGCATCTATTAAATTTTTATATCATGTTTAATATTTTGTATATTTTTATCTTTTATGTATATTTAAAAAGTTTTATTGCATGAATTATTTGTTAAATAATTTAAGAATAAAAACATCATTTTAATAAACATAACTTTATTAAATGTACTTTTACAACAAAATTATTGAAATAAAATTTGTGTAATTTAACAAAAATTGATAGAGAATATTCTTATAATTCTTCTCTCAATGTATCTGATGCAGTATTTAATCTATTTTCATTAAAGCTAATAGAATTCCAAAAATCTTTCTGACCAAAGTTTGTACTACTGTCCATCTGAATTTTATCTGGCCGAGCAATATGCAAATAATGAAGTGATTTTTCATTTGGATTTAGTCTTGACCATTGAGAACCACCAACATTTGGCACTCTAAATTAATTTAAAAAAAAAGTATATAAATAAGAAATGCAAAAAATATACATATATAAGAATATAATGAAATATAACAGAAGTTGTTTTAAATAATATAATAATGTATTCCTGTAAATTATTTTAATGCGTAGCATTGAATGTATATACTGACCTATTTGTTGCAAATGATACCCAGAGATCGATCAAAATTTTTTGCATTTTAATATCACTTGATGTTGTTGTAGGATCAATGTATTTAGTGTCTACGACAAAATATGCATCATCTGCATGGCTCACACCTATAAAATATTTAATAAGTACATCCATTCTCTTGTCTTTTTCAAAGTTCTAAATTTGAATAATATACCATAATTATTAGTAGTTCCACTCAGAGCGTCACTGAGACTGTGTGTACCTCTGTAGCTATAGTAATAATACCAAACAGGTTGTTTATTAACTTTAGCTTGCATTCTGGCAGCTTTTTCACTATCAACAACAAAGAATCTGTCACCAGCTATTTGAACTAAGGATTGTGTTGTTGTGTCATCAATTTTCTTTGATCCAAAATAATGATTTCGAATGAGTCTAGCAACTTCAACGTGCTTTCCTCTAGGAATTGTGTAATTATAATCGAAGAAATGAGGTGCAAGAAGATCCCAATTTTCGTCCAACGTTTTCAGAGCTTCTGGTATGGCGATAAATTCTGTGAAATTCAACATTTTAAATCAAAATTATTTGAACAATTGATTTTCATTATCATATGTTTCTTACGGGCAACTGGAAATAATCCCTCTTCACTGGTAACCCCAGTTATCCATGGAACATCTTGAACATCACCACTACTCACGATTTCAATGGGAGTACGATCAATAAACGGTTCGTCACCGAATTTCTCCGGAACTGGACCAAATGGCGTAAATGGATTGTAATAAAACCGCTGTAACCAAATTGTTAATTTTGAAATAATACGACTACATTAGTGATATTAATATATGATAGTGATCTAAAACGATAGTAAAAAAATACTTACCATATAATTACCAAGAGCTTGAACTACAGTTTTGGATGGACGATATCTGAGACAGCGCACCATCTCTTTGGTATTGCCTGTGGGACAACCCATAAGAGCACCCAATTTTTTGGCTTTCTCTAAAGAATTCTCTGTTTGACCCCAACAATCGAAAGCTGTACCGCTGATCGAGATACCACCTATATGAAGAAATCATACAAAAGGTATATGTATATCCTTAAAGAAAAGATGAAGATTCTTTACAATGAAATATTAACACATTGAAATAAGAAAATGATTTTGTAACCACCTTGGAAAAGACCAGCGCTCATAGGTGATAAGTAGTGATAATGAACACTAACACCGCCAGCACTCAAACCAACCAAAGTCACTTTCTTTGGATCACCACCGAACCATTCGATATTTTCGGAAATCCATCGTAGCGCCATGCTTTGATCTTTCAGTCCCATGTTACCAGGAACTATTTCATCTTCAGTGCTGAGGAAACCTGAAAAAAATTACAATTGTCTTTAGGAAAATCACAGTTATTTATAGTCTTCATAATTCAAAAAAGTTAAAAAATCTTCACTACCTAACATTCCTACACGATAATTAATTGTAACAAATATGACGTCACGATCCATGAGATACTTAGCACCCATGAACATTCCGCTACCATATTGAAAACCACCGCCATGAATCCAGAAGATAACTGGCAATGATTTAGAAAATGTTCTTCTATCCGCGGGAGCGTAAATATTCAAATAAAGACAGTCTTCGGCACCTTCGACTTCATCGTCCGGATCAAAAGGCAGTTGAGCGTATTGCAAACAGGGAGAACCAAACTTCGTCGCAGGAAGTTCACCCGTCCATGGTGGTAGCTTTTGAGGAGGCTAAAAAAATTTTTTATCGTTATTTTATGATAAGTGCAACTTTAAGTTACATAACATGAACAGAATAATCACCATATTTCTTTGTACGTTATAAAACTGATTTTTTACCTTGAATCGAAGTTTGCCAACTGGAGGCAAGGCATATGGAATTCCTTCATAGGCTTCGTATTGTCTTCCATTGGCAGATATCTTGTAATATCCCTTAATGGTTCCCAGAGGAGTTTTTACCCTAGGCGCATCCTCTAGGGTCCACACCAGGGTCACAAGAGCGAGAAGAAGTAGAAGATATGATAGTCTTGGCATCTTCTGGAATGATGCTGCCTTGACAACTCGCATTTATTTATCGTGAGCGTTTGCTTGCTTGTGTTGAATTAAATTACATACACCAACAAATGTATCGGTATGGAATCTTCATATATACAAGAGTCAGTTTTGCATGTAAGCTGGTTAATCTCTCTTTGAATTTCATTGGCAATTATCAACATGAGTCAGGAATAAGTCGTATGTTGTAATTCTTAAATTTTACATATGTATATACGTATATATGAACAGAAAATATACATGTATAGATCTATGTATGTTGATGTAAGATTTTGCTTTATTAGCCATTAGATACGATAAGATAAAATTGCTGCATTGTTCGTAGAGAGGGAGAGTGAAAAAGAGGGAGAACTCAATTTACTTTAACCATTTTAATAAAGTACCATCCAGTATAACATCAGTCATCCAGTATAACATCAGTGAAATAAATTACTATCAATTGATGAATATCAATTGCAAACTTTAAAAATATAATAATGATAAAACTATGATTACCGTAATTCACTTGACTATTGCAATTCTATTTCTAAATAGATATAATGTTAGTAAATAAAAAATTAATTAATAGATATAATGTAAATAGAAAATTATATTTAATTATAGATGATTTTAATTGTTCTGAAAATAACAAAATATTATTGAAAATGTTAAAAATTTAAGAAATTTATTATCATATTTATACATTAAAAACAATTTTTTTTATTAATTTTATATAATAAATATTATCTATAAAATTTCTAGAACTATCATAAATTACATAACGGACTAAATCTGTTCTATATATAATCACATATATAATCACAATTTTTGCCATAATGTAAATATTATCCATAAAATTTCTAGAACTATCATAAATTACATAACGGACTAAATCTGTTCTATATATAATCACATTTTTTGTCAGATAATATATTTTTTGTATAAACATGTGATACGGTACACGTTAAAATTTCTGAATAACAAAGATAACACAGTTAGAAGCATGTACATTCTTGCAGTATGTTAGTAGTACTTCTCTTAAAGAGAATGTAGCTTTATAAAATTTTATAATCATGTATGTTTCTTATTTCACTTAGTAGACCATCTTCAGAATGAGACTATCACTTGTAAAGACTCATTCAAATGAATTTAAAATTTATTTGAATAAATAAATAGAAAATATTTTATTTGTCGAATTATGCATAAAATTTGCTATTAAATTTATGTAAATGTATAAAATAATAGACATTATAAAAAAATATAAATATAACATTGTTAAGTTAAACATTGTTTTTCGTTTTTAATGATTAGATCTTAGACCGTTTATTTTTTAGTCCATATCTTTATTTACAATTTTAGATGAAAAATGGGAAAAACTGCAGCAATTGTTATCAAACTGTACATCATTAGTATCAAAGTGACTATAGTCTAGACTAAAGAAAATTAATTTACAGACGGTATCTGCGAAACACGCGGAGATTGAAGCTAATAATCATGAAACTGCATCATGGATATGTGACCTGAATTCTTCCAACAAAACAAAATTAAATAATGTAATGTAAATTTTACCTATATATATTAAATTTAATTGATTTCAATTAATCTCTATTAAACTTTCATTAACAAGATAAGATAAGATTAAATTGATAACTATTTCTTTAGATTATTCTCCTAAAACATTATCTTTAGTTCATTAGTAAGTTCATTCATTATTGCAGTTATATGTCTGTAGTTTAATAATTATTTTCTAGAACTAACACTAACATATTTAATTAATATTATATATTCGATATTTCATTTTTTCTTTTTTTGTACAGTTAATTTTGAGGCAAAACCGTTACTATGAGCTCAAAACTGGAGACGTGTTAGAATTTGGTATGGTACGGGCAGTTTTCAAAATCTCTCCTTCATTGAATGATTCCTTAATACCAGAAACTCCAGCACCAAATCATCAGAAAGTCCAGCAAAGGGTCATTCCTGGGACACCTGATTCATCATTGGTAATTATCATTTATGTTATAAATATGTGATTTCATGATTGTATAAATGAATATATAATAAGCAGAAAATAGAAAATTATAAAAGTATAAATATTAAAATATACAGGATATTCCAAAAAGTGTTTTGTACGTAATGTTGACCTTTTGTAAATAAGGTCAACATATTTTATGAATAAGAATATGTTATAAATATATACTAATAAATAATTAAAACAGCAAATTTATAACACATTTTTGTTATAACTTCATAACACTAGCACTACTTTACAAAAAAGAATATCCTATATATTATCTTAAATATTATACATAGATAACTATATTATATATTATTAAATATTTTTTATATAGAGCAATTCATCCACCAACGTTTCAGTAATTTCTGCTACCCAAGATGAAAGGAAAAAATCTGTATTTCAATATCCAACATTGCATCTGAGGACTTCTACTAGCAGCGTTCGAAAAAGTAACGTTCAGAACTCTTCTGTCGATGATCAAGATAATTCTCAAAGTTTTGGTGTAAAAAAACAAAACGTAGGTGAATCGAGAATTAGTATTTACGACATGGAGACGCAAAAGTTCTCGTGTAGTTCTTATAATAAAACGAATGTTGATATTCACGATGCTGAGGGTCAACAAATTTGTATTTTAAATAACATCAAAAATTTTACAAAATTTGTGCAGGAACAAAATGTTGACATGGGAAAGCAATCGAAAATAGGAGCACCAGAAGAAGTTACTGATATTCATGATATAGAAACGCAGCACGATATAGATATTGAAACAGCCAAAAAGATCAGTATTCGTAATTCTAAAACTCGAGATAATAGTATCCGAGATAGTGAAAAATTTGAAAAAACAGGAATTGAAGAAGAAAAAAATTCAGCAATGGAAGGGAGAAGTAATGTTAATAATATAGTAATACAAAAAAAGAAGGCTAATGATAGCACATCTCATTGTAATATCACTAATAAAGGTAAAAATAAAAGTGAAAAATTGTCAGATATTGAGAAAGATTTGCCAAAACGTTTAGAGGTTGTTGAAATAAGCGAAGATGATGCTTCCGAATTTGACATGAGTCGAAATTTGCTTAGTCCAAAAGATTTAGAAGAGTTTGAAGAATTTATTGAGGATAATAACCTATCTGATGAAATAAAGTCAACATCACCGATTTCTATAAAAGCTTCATGCGTAAATAATGATAGCGGTGTGAACAGTAAAAGTATCGATAATGAAAACATATATGAAGCAGCAACACAGGTCAATAAAATTGATAAGAATGATTTCAGGGCATCTTTAGCTGATAATTCTGATGATACCGATAATGAGGCTGTGTTTCAGAGGTATTTACGCAATGACAGTCAAGAAAGTAAAAAATCTTCAAACCTTCAAGTGTCTGATAGCGACGATTCAATTACGGATGAGGAAGGTCACTTCACAGAAATAGCTGCAAAGATGAAAAAAGCCATAGAAACTTCATTAGAAATACGACATAACAGGAGTAAAGAAATGAAAAACAGTAATTCAAGTAGAGATTCTGAAGATCTGTTCAACGTGCTTACTCAACCATCAAATATGAAGAACGAAAATTCATCGTTCAAATGTAATAAAAAATCAAAAGATAATGAAGATGAAAATCAAGTAGATTCTGATAGTCCAACACAAGTAATTGATAAGAAAGGTACCAAAAATAATATGGAAGTAAGTGAGGAAATAGGAATAGAGGAAATCGATGATATAGTATCAACTCAAATTCTTCCAATGAATAAATCTTCCTTTAGAGAAACTAGTTCTATTATTTCAACCAGAAACAATAAAGATTCTAATGAAGATATTACTGAACTGAAATACAACAGACCTACTCAGATAATTAACACTGAAGAAAAAGTGCTAGACGTGAGCAATAACGAACCTCTTACTTCGTCAAATTCTTCGATATCAATTACAGTGGAAGAATATAATACTGAAAACATCGATTACGAAATGGCATGTACTCAACCAATTGGTGATATTGAGAAACAAAAATCTGTGCCATCAGTTACTGATAAAAATGAAAACAAGTCGAAATCGGCTACAATAAATTTTGATGATAGTGTAGAAAGGAAATTGAAAGTAATGTTTGAAAATACAATGGAAGAACATATTGAAGATCAACCACAAATATCAATACAGGCTCTTGAAAATATACTAGAATTGTCACAAAGTGAGGATGAATCACCTAATGTGAACAGTGATACAACTGTTAGCAGAAAAGCAAAGAAATCCAAAAAAGGAAGAAAAAGCAAACCAGCAATAGTTAAGACAAGTCCCAGTTCTGTATCGCATAAAGAAAGTTGTAATTCTCCTCTTTCTTTACGACGACATAATATTTCAAATTCGGAGTCTGTCAGAAATATAATTAACAAAGGAAGCGAAAAAGAAACTGAAGATTTATTAATATCAAACTCGGTGCCTACGGATTTGTCAACACCCAAATCTACAATTGAAAATCCATCGATTCCAAAATCTCTCTGTAAACATCCTTCAACATCAAAATCTGTATCTAAAGATTCTTCAACACCAAAATCATTAGGGCAAAAATATCTCAAAGAATCAAAAATAGTTAAAACGTATCAAGAAGAAACTAATATGCTTAAACACGATAACGATAAATTGAAGAATGTAGATGATCAAGAATCGAATACATCAATCAATGGTGAGCAATATCAACAAATCTCTAAATTACTAATGAGCGAAGATGATATATTAGCCGGTTTACCTGAAGTTAGAATTTCAGGTACTTTATCGAATCCACCAAGTCCAACTTCGTCTGAATATAGAATCAATATTAATAAAAACCGGGCGAAACAAATATCCATAAAACTTGCGCCAAAAAAAAGAAGAATTTCACGAAGAACACTTGATCATAGAATTACAGAAAATGCTACTCATACTATTATTGAACCAAATTCCATGGCTACTTCGGAAAGTTCATTCATAAACAATCTCAGTGCTGATAAAATATCTGTCTGCGAAAAAAAAGTAAGCGAAAAATCTAAAAAATCGACGAAAAAGACCAAGAATTTATATAGCAAAAGAAGTGATTCTCTTCCGAAATCGAATTCAATTAATTCGCAAGAAAAGACAAGGCAGTGTCTTTCTATTCCAAGCAATAGAAAGACTCGTAATTCTAGCAAAAAGAATACTGATTTTTCATCTATTTTTCAGGTGGAAAAGGAAATACTGGTTGAAAAAGCAGCTGCTGAACCTGCGAAAGAAAATGTAATAAAGACATGCTTTCAAAAAAGATCACTTAGTATGACGGATGTTGTCGATAATAGTAGTTCGAAAAAGCGTAAAGATGATGTTGATGAAGATGTGTCTGTTGAAAACAGAAATAGAAAAACAATCAGTGGAAGAAAGTCTGCAAATATTCTGGAATTTATTGTTAGAAAAAACTTATCAAACAATGGAAAAATGGGTGAAGAAGCCAATTTAAATAAAGAGGCGATTGTAAAAGTCGAGAGAATTTCTCTGTCTACTCCAACAGAATTAATATCAAGTACTCCAATTAAATCAGTGATTGAAGATGATAATAGAAATAGAAACAGACAAAATCGACATAAAAATGTTGTAAATAGTCAAATCGCTTCAAGTACTTCAACTAAAGAAAATGAAAGAACTATCCAAAATGTAGAAATGCGAAGAGGTCGAAGGGTAACAAAAAAAGCTAAACCTTCAGTTGATGATATCAGTTCTGAAGTTGGTGAAGAATCTCAAGAAGTAGAAATGATTATGAATGGTGCACTCAAAGAACAAAATACCAATTCAAATACAAAAACAAAGAAAGATACACAGAAAAATGCAAGAATGCGAAGCACTAGAAAACGTGCGAACACAAATGTTGACACAGATACAAATAATACGGAGACCAGTAGTATTTCTTCCGTTGTATCTGAATCTGATAACGCATATTTCGAAGTACCCATTTCGAGGAACAAACGAGCGAAAGTTACTAAAAATTCTTTAACCGTAACTAATACTAATGAATACATTAAAGAAACAAGGGAGAGAAACAAACGATCGACTAGATCAACTCGAGGTCAACAATCAATTATGGATTCTTCTGTAAAAGAAAGCACAGAAACTATTGCTAATAAAACTAATTTAGATAATAGTACTAAAAATACTTTGAATGTAATTAATACTATGGTAAATAAATCTATTAAAGAAACAAAGAGAAACGGCAAACAGTTGACTAAATCGTCTCGAAGCCAACAATCAATTACAGATTCTTCAATTATAGATTCTACAGAAGAAAATACAAAAAATAATCGAACTGGGTTAGGTACTAGCAAAACGAATAGTTTGAAAGATAAACGGCAAATGCAGACGACAGGAAAAGCTAAAAACAACAAACAACGGCAAAAAGATTTTATAGAGGAGACTAGTTCAGAAACGAATACCAGCAACGAAACTACATCAATATTTTCAACGCCTAGTAGAACACGTAGAAGTATGTCTTCTTCATTTGCAATGCAATCACCATTGAGAATAAAGCATAAAATCTTATTTACTGGTATTTCAAGTAACGATTATAGCAAATTATTAACAAAATTAGGTATATATTCAATCTTTTTATGAGAAAATTATAGCTAACTATAACAGTCAAAATTAATTTTTGTTTTCTTTTTATATAGGTGCATCTCAAGTTAACAATCCAACAAAGTGCACTGTACTGGTGACAGATAAAGTTCGCCGAACTGTTAAATTCTTATGTGCTTTAGCGTTATCTGTACCAATAGTTTCAGTTGATTGGTTGATTACTAGTGAAAAAACTGGTCATTTCATAGAATTAGAAAATTATATATTAAAAGACCCTGCTGCTGAAACTAAATTTCGTTTTAAATTGGAAGAAAGCTTAGAAAAAGCAAAAGAACATAAACTTTTGGAGGGATATACACTTGTGGTAACGCCAAACGTGATACCACCACCATTAGAATTAAAAAGTATGTTTTAAAAATAATAATTTGATTTTGTACTATAAAGAATATATTTTTTACAGATATAATCATTTCATGTGGTGGTAAAGCTTTGTTTCGACCACCGTCATTGTGGCGTCAAAATTCAATAATTATTTCTCACGAAGAAGACTTGACAAATGCAAAGAAATTTCTTCAAAAAGCACCTAAAACTGTTACCGTTCATTCGACAGAATTCGTATTAACTGGTATTTTGAGACAAGAGTTAGAATTTACTGAATTTAAATTAATATAATCCATTTTCCGAATTTTTTAACAAAACAAATATATCGTATTAAACAAAATGTGTAAATCATCTGTATATTTCTTAAATATTTTTTCAAAAATTTGTACAAAATGAAAAGTACATTATGTTATATAATTCGTGTAATTTGTTTCGATATTATTATGTCTAATATTATAAATTTTTAATTTTTTACTTTAAAATTTTTTAATTGAAATAGAATTTTACAATTTCAAATATTTAAAATATAGTTTATATTTTTAATGTTATAAACAATACTTAATATTTGATTTTAATATAAAATTTTAATATAAAAAAATTATACTTTGCGTTTATAGTTTTTAGTTTTTATTGTAAAATATAATTTCAAAATATAATTTGGTATCTAATTATAATACTTATGTTAATGTTTAAGGTGGGAATAGGTTACAAATGTGAATTACTATTCCTTAAATATTACTTTTTAATAATTATAAATTTTATTGTTCATCAAAATTATACAATCTTTTTTTTATCTAATACTTTCAACTTTCTAATGAACTCAAAATTACTCTTTTGAATATAACAAAAATGTTTCTTAAAGTATTTCAAAAAACAAATGCAATCTTTTCAAGTGAATACGCAGTCAAGTGAATTTCTAAATTGAGCAATTATGTTTCAATAGTAATTAAACGAAACATTTATAATTAGATGCTCAGTATCTAAAAAATGTGTACACTGTGCGTGAATTCAATAGAAATATTTTTAACTTCTTCAAATGTCACAAAATCTCTAGATTCATTTAGCTCTGGATCAAGAGTATTCTAAGAGATAGTTATATATGTTCTATAAATTACAACAGTAATGATTATAAGATATATATACTAAATATTAATTATCTTATTCTAAGTGAGAATTGATTTAGTGACTAACTGCATTATTAAAAATAAAGAAAATGAAAAGAATTGTTTATTATATCCAATGATATTCAAGAAATCTTCAATCTATTGGAATTGACAGATTTTCTCCAAAAAATAAGACACAGCAATCTCCGAGCTCCTAAAACAAACGAATAATAATAAATTATTACGAATAAAAAAAATCAATTTAATACCGAAGAAATATTTTTAAATAAAAGCAAATCAATAATATTTTTTAAACGTGTCTCTATCCATACTTGTATGCATATTCATCATCGTGTAAAAAAAAGCAACAAGTATTCAAGAAATGAGTCATCTTTAAAATATTGCGCAGCATAAAGTACTGAAGTACAAAAATATTTTATTGTAACAAAAACATCCAATGGAACGTCGAAATTTATTAAATTACTACATTTTAACTTTCGTTATTTTTAATTGCGTCGTCAAATGTAATTATGCGCTTCTACGACTTAAAATTGTACATAGATAGAAAAACAAGAGCATAAACACACAAACTCGGCCAAGGTTGCAAACCTTTTCGGCTGCACACAAATCAATAACACAATACAAAGTAAAATACGATATTAGAATTTACATCGCGATTAATCGAGGAAAATGTACCTACTCTTTATGCTTTGGTCTTTCCAACATTCCGTTTGTTGTGCTCAGAATTCATCAATTTAGTGAGTATCTTTCTGGAATGGCCGCAGGGATCGAAATGATTAGTATGCGTAAGAGCCTCGCGTTTGCTTCGTTGTTTTCCACTATGTCCGGTAAAAATATGCTTATCGTAATCGTAGTTGAAGTGTTCGTATTCGTCAACGTAGTAGTCAGACATAGCTCTCGTTTTCCAAATACTTTAAAAAAAATAACAATTAGCGTATACGCAGTCGAACAATCTCTTTCACTCAGACTCACTGCAAGCTATTAGACGCCACTTATTGCCACCGCTTATATAGGGTATCCAAGAATTGTTGCGCAGGCGCAGTATACAGTGATGTCTAGTTAGTGCCTGATGTAATAATCGTTTAATAAGATTCTTTATTTTACACTGTAAAATAATTCATTTCAAATAAAATAAAGAAAATTTAGAATCTGATATATTAAAAAGTATATAATAAGTAATTCAATATAACTGTGCATGAAAGAATGCATACTAGAAATTTCTAGAGAACACTTGATATTCTCTCTATTATTGATCGCAAAGATTAAATATTTACCATCAAGAAAAATTCTAGTGAACTAATTCAACAAACAATATTTCTTGTGTCTTTTTAAATATTTCAAGCATTGTTGCATTATGCGTCATACATAATCTGACGTAAATCAACCAATATATTAAAGTTATTTGATATTGTTCGTTAAAAATTTACGTAAAAATCTAAAATGCATCATTTTATACTATACATGAACAGTCCTGATACTACATTATCTTAGTTCAGTAATTATTAATTGATATGTATGATAATGATAAGATTTTTTTTTCCAATTGTTTCAATTTTTAATAGATTTGACGTTGTATGCTATTTTGTAAAAAATATCTATGTAACAAATATCAATAAGCTTTGGATTTATATATCCAATTTTTGGCAACAAACAATATATTGATCTATTACGCACGCGCGATCAGTGTTTTGTTACATTGACTTCTAGAAGTCTCCCTACCATCGTCAGCAAAACGTCGTTGCACATTCTGTATTTATCATCTGCTGACATACGTTAAGTAAGAAAAAAAAAATATATAAAAATGTTTGCATGGGGCGTGGTAAAGAAGTTAATATTAAATATATTTTATATATTATATGTTGTAGAAGTTGATATAACTTAAAATGACAAGATGAAAAGTTTTTACCGATAACATTCCAGTTTAATCATATTCTTTTATATTCCATTTTGTATATCGGACTAATATTAACATATACGAATTAATTATCGATTCTGTCTGTAATTATTATTAATTTTGTCTACTGCATAAAGACTGTATATAAAAATATGCATCATGTTTACATACATTCCCATATGTATTTATGACTGTCATGAAAAATATCTCTTTTGACCTTAATTACTTATTACATTTCACGAAAAATCTCTGTTCAAAAATAATATTCGTTAGCATCTCAAAGCATGTGAAAGATATTTTCTCTTTTCGATTTAAAAGAATACAGAAATCAGACAGAAATGATATAAATTAATACAAATGGATTTGCAATCATTTTTACATTTCTTTTTTGTCTTATCGAAGATTATTATGACTCAGAGAGTTGTGGTAAAAATATTATTGATTGGAATATTGTGTGTGTTTCAAGATTGTTATTAAAAAATGATTAAACCGCCAGATGTATCGAATGAAGCAATCAATCCAATTTTAATATTTTAAGTAAATTTAGCTTTTGCGTTTCATTCCTTATGAATAAATAATAAAAGAAAATTTAACCTTTTCCTGCTATATAGACGTAAAAATTTTTTTGGCTGTATGCCAAATGAAAGGTTAATCAAAACTACCAGAAAGTGTTGACTTTAGTCAACTGGAAGGATGTAACATATATATGAAATCTCGTTAATTGATCTGATTTTATTACGACAGCGTATAGCAATATCGAAGCATTGACTAGGAACATAATACATGATATATAGTATAGGATTTCGTGTCTCACATTCTGAAATATTGATCTTTAATGTAATTTGCTACGGTTAATATAATTGGATATAAAGAAGTATTATTTTTATGCTTCCATCAAATTAGAGATTAGAGAAAAGAATTTTTTTTAATTTTTTGTATATCGATGTCTAAGTTAAACAGTATACATATCCTTATACGAAATGCGCGCGCAAGAATTACAGCGCCAATGAAACGGTGAAGCACGTAATTAAATATTGCGATTCTCGAAAGTAATCGATATTCCTCAGGATCGTTCTATAACGTCAGTGTCAGTTTTAAGCGGGAACCGTAACAGTAAGAGGCATCGTTCAGGTAAAAATTACAATTAATAGCTTTTAGGTTCGTTTTTGCATTGTGGAATACGTCCACAATTTACAATAGTAAGCATTATTTCAAAAAATTATTACGTATATGTATTCAATTCAATCATCAATATTGGTTAGAAATGAACACATGCAACAATCCGTGAAAGGTTTCTAAAATTGTACATATTCCATTAGTAGATATTTACATGGTTAAAATGCATTTTGTAAGATATTTTGATTAACTAATTTGTGACACGAACCTGTTGTTCAATTCCAAAAATCATGGTATGAAAATGTGTGTGTACTCTGTGTGTAACTTCGTAATAGTCATTGTCATCCTTCATTATTTCGTACACCACGCTACATTTTTATTCTATAATTTATCGAATATTATTATAATTTATATCTATATAAAATATAATAAATTATCTTTATTTTTTCGTCTTTTTGATTTCCACATTTATCAGATCATAACTTTGCAATATTGACTTTATTATTTCATTTTCATATAATTTGTTCCTTTTATACATCTATTGGAAAATTTTGGTTTTCTTTTTTACAGATACTAGTTGATTGTGAGGGAAATTTCGAAAGATTCAAAAGGACACCATTCAACTTCTTTTTATGAAGGTATAGTAAGATTTGATTTATTCTAACAAAAAAGGCATGTTTGTATCTTTATTCTCTCTTTTTATGAGATAATTGATAACATTTATTTAGTATTTACCTGATATACATTGTTAATTATCACGAGCAAGTTCGAATGCTTTCTGCGCATCGTGTATTGCGCACATTCAATTGACAAAAGAAGCGCGCCATATTTGATTTGTATTTGTATATTTAAAATCATAATAACTATAATAATTATATTTAAAATCATAATAACGGACATTCATCTTTATTAGTATTAAAATTGGTAGAATTTTATTTTTCATTATCTTAAGCTTTTTAAACAATCAACGTTATTTTTAAGAACAAATAATAATATTCTGTACTTTTTTTACAGATTTCTTCTAGCCTTTACTTCTTCCATGGGATTTGACTATTCCTGTTGATAGACTACACGACGTGATGCGATACTTCACTCTAATTACAATCGATAACAACGTTAATTGTGAGTCACATGCATTTTTGTTCCTCCGGTCACTCAATCATGTCGTAAAATAAAAGATCCAAATTGAAATGGGTGACCGGTTGTATTACATAAAACTTTTAACGAATGATCACAGGTATCAATTATACTCGTGTTTTATTCATTAGTTCAAGATTTTCTTGCATATCACATTTGCATTAATATTAACAATGTTACATAACATTACAATATAAACAATCGAATAGAATACAGTAATTAATAAAGTTTGAAATATGGAGATACTTAAATTTGTTTGATTTTATCTATCAAAAAATGTACTTTCATATGCAAGAAGACACTTCGCGACGGGCAAATTTTAAAATTAAACAATTAGTCTTATGTTTTAAAAAATAGAGTTGATTAAGAAATTGCTTGAGGATATTTCAATTAATACTTTATTTTGAATTCATTTATGTTCATCGAATTTTACACTATTTGTATTGAATTAATTTTTTTTAGTCAATTTATTAAATTATAAAAGTAAATTATAGAGTAATCGAAAGTTGAAGTAAAATAAAAGAATATCAAGAAGTATTAGCCCGTTATAAAATATACGCAAATAGATATATTAATCATCTTTCTAGCTTAGGATTTTCAGATTTTGTGTTCATGTTCATTGCCAGGACCTCATTCACGTGCCCAGATGCTACTTGAGTGGGGGAAAAGCGATGGGCATGATTATAGTTTATAAGTTTAATAATTTATAATTTCTCAGCGACCGATGATGCGTTAGTATATGATATATTTTCCACATTGTGTGTGAACTGCGTTGTTTTTATTATTACTCGAAGCAATATAATTTTGAAAATATTATAAATATAATAAATAAAAACTATAGAAGGTACCACATTTTGTACCATCTGTTTCAATAATGTTATTTCTTCAAGTGATGAATATTCAACAAGATCATGAATATTTAATTGAAATGTAGATGTAGATGTGTTTTCTTATCTTATGTCTTATGCAATGGTTCCTTTATCAGTCGATTTCAGGAAAATGGTATGTTAGAATATGAATGTTGTATCCGTTATTCGGGTGTACGGGATGTTTTCTCTAGTGCAGATTTTGCACTCGAGTATATGTGTGAAAACCATGGAGTGAGTATTGATGTGCCTGTTCTTGCTATTTTTTAAAGATAAGGAGCTGGATAGACTAGGTAGCATACTTTCTGGTGTGCCTGTGTATAATTATAAGCAAATAGGGCCGGACAGATTGGCACAATCTCTGATCGGCGCGTTTCGCATAACTAACCTGTTTCTGGAAATCAGATTTGAAAAATCGACGGTGAAGCTCAAGTAGAGTATGCCTCGTCTGTGGTTTTGCCTATCACTTTTACGGATTTCGTGGTCTTGATCGCGTGTAGATTTCGAATTAAACGTTCCCGCTTAGAATTTTGCATTTGGGTCAGCTTGTGTTTTTTTTTCGTTTTTAATTATTTTAATTATTGGCTTATTTCTTGAATTATTAAATTTTTAATTATAAATTAATATTACATGTAAATTCTTAAAGTAAATTTGAATTTTATTAGGATTTATAGTATTTTCTCTTATATAAAGTTATGGAAAGCATTTTTGATTAACTTCATAGTGTTACGATTTGTGGATATCACGAATAGAGTAATAATAGCTTTTCCTTCATGTAGGAATTTCACAAAATCATGAAATTCAAAGAATTAGCGTTACGATATTTTTCCACATCGTAGAAACCTAATTCTATTCTTTTTTCTATTTAAACTTTACTGTAGACAGAATTTCCACATATAGATTACTGTTAGTAGTCTGTTAGGAAAGTCTTGGGGTGGTTTGTAATAAAACCGAATTCATAAAAACAGCTTTAGATTCTTTGTAGTAAGCTTCACGAAGAATCTTTTAAATTTCGTAATAGATACGGTTCTAAAAAATCTCCACATTTATTAGATGCTTAGATAAGATTAGTGAAGATCTTTAAATTTTTATCATACATATTAAGTTGGATTGTCAAATTTAAGTAATTGGGATATGTTTAGATTTATAGCTAGATCATAGAATCTATATGTAATAAGTACATTTTGATATGTAAATAAAGTATCGTAGTAATTAAGAACATATCTAATTGGATGGTATTAGTAAATAGATAGAGTCAAATCTTCGTATACAAAATTGGTAAGTTTTTACGATAAAAAAAAGGATGAATGGAACTGTGGATATGGAAACAATCGCATTATTTGATATATAATTACTAACTGCATCATCATGAATTATATAACAAATAATATGATTGACTACCATTGTGATTACAGATTTGCCAAATTTATTAGATTATTGTTATAGATACAGAAGTAGGAAGTTATTCGAACATTTCAAATTATACCAAAATAAAAAATAACAAAAATTTAAAATAGTTCTCAAGAATACGTTCCAGTGTTCAAGAAACAATTCCAATTTGACACTGTACCATTACGTATATTGAATTTCATTGTCTAATATTTTTAACTGGAAACAGTCGTATTCTTCATGAACTTTATAAAAATATTCACTTCATTCTGGCATGGTT